TGATTGTATGAGAATGTATATTTGCGTGTTTATTTGCGTCTATATGCAATACGGTTCTTAAATCAGACTTTGACAAGTCTGTCTAGATTTGTAATTTTTAATCTATTGACTCGATTAAGTTTATATAAGTAGTAAGATGAAGCCGGATAGTGTTCTTGGTTTAGTATTAATGTGAGACTTGTACAAGAATGAAACTTAGCTCTGATGATGTCCATTATATGATGGACGAAAGCTCAGCACGTTCTAACCCGAAGCGAGGGAGGAATACTCGTGGACTGCGTCAACATGAATATAATAAAAAAGCTAAACGGCTGCAGTACAACGATTTTCATCCGTCCTCATCTGGTGAGATCGACAAACGAATCTCTTATTCATGTATTTTCATTCGAAATGAAGGTCCTCCTAACAATGTTAACTCAGGAGATTCATCGAAACCAAGTTTCTCTTCGTATCTAAATTGGGACAGTTTTAGATCCAATATAGATTGGCGAATATTTCAAAATAGTTAATGAATCCATATTAGATAGAACTCCGTGCAACTACCATAATGATCTCAAAGTTTTTTCTCCTTCTGGATTGACCTAATCCTCCCTTTGAGTTTAGATGAATTTGACTAAAATTAACCTGTGAAGGAAAATTTGTTCAATCGCCGAAATACTAACACTATCATAGAAAGTAAGCAGAAGGGTATTCAATATATTAAATCTAAGGTTATGAAAGCCTGGTAGCTAAATTTTCTAACAATTATACCTCGTGTTTCCATGAAATGTTAGATTGCATTGCTTTCCTAAAGGTAATCTCATCTAAGGGAGGACTGCAGATTCGATACAGCCTAGGTCTTCTCAACGAATCTAGCAAGATTCGTACCCGGGTAGTAAAGTGCATAGTCTAAACGAGTTATGCACTGAAGATCACTGCCTTGAGTGGCTATAAGTCACAGATAAAAATTTAATTTCAATAAATCTTTTGCTTTTTCTATATCACATTTCTATGGTGGAATGATCAATGAAGCAACATTGCATTTGCCATTGCAATCAATTATATTACTTATTTTCGTTTATAAGTAGGTTTTAGGAATATCAGAGAATCCTGACTGAGAACTGTATTTACCCTATTTATTTAAGGTGATGAAGGCCGGTAAGGCTTAGACCTCCTTGAAATTCACTTCTCTGCGACCCAAGAGCACTCGTGTCAGGTTGGCGTATTGGATCACATGTCAGGAGTATGCACTGCAATACCAGGAATTAGAGTCTTCCTGGGTGAGTAATGAAACATATGCGAGGTAAAAACTGCAGTCTACTCTGGCTGAGAATATATTTTAGGAAAGAAAACCTATGTTAAATTAAATGAAAACACGAGGTTCACTTATATTATTGAGAGGAAATTCAACGACCAGTTCTTCATTACCTTAAATGAAGTATGATTAATGCCGTTCCTATACCAGATCTATCGCTAATCTCGAAAATCTACTTATGATACAAAAAAGCATTATTTATCAAAACCTTCGATGAAAGATGGAATTGTTGAATTTTCCTACAATGATATAAGTCGTCCCCATATTCCCATAAATTTCACTTGGATTTCCTTCCAAAAATGTATTATTAACCAGGCTGAACTGCAGCTTTCCCTGGGTTTCATCAGCGTAAGATTTCAACCTATTACTTCTTCTCCGAGCCACTACAAGTTAATTTCAGGAAAGTCTAGGCCTTTCCCATATCATATTTTTTGTGTTGGATTGTCGATAAGGCAAAAGTATATTCTCTATTATGGCAATTTCTAGAAAATCCATTGATACTAATCAGCATTTAGCATGAGTCAGATATTGCCTTTACTACTATCAGAGGCTAAAGGAACACGTCACCAACTCCTTGCACAGGTCTGCAGATACTTACAATTTCTCTACCCCTCATAGCCAGTTCAAAGTACACAAAACACGGATTTACAGTCATTCAAGCATAATATTCTGGCATAAAAAGAAGTGGATTTAGAAGTTTTTATATGTCGACACCCTTAAAGCACATTACTTTGCGTCTTATAAGTCCAGGATTTCCGTTAACAAGTGTTATGTATTGCTGGGCTCTTTCATTTAAGCGTATTTTTGCTATGGTAATGCAATGTAAGGACACTGCAAGAAAAAGTAAATGTTTATTATATTCAGTTGGCGCCTAAAAGAATTTTCTGGTCTGATCAATCAGAGCAAACTATAAAGCTCAACTTATGGAGCAGGAAGGATATTCCTTTTGGGTTTTGGTAAAGTAGTCTTGCTTCTTTTCGGCGAAAGATACTCGCGATGATTCTCCCAATTAGAGCAGATAAGTTGAACTTTCCATATAATTGGTCGAGTAGACCAAGGATGCTAGAAATTTAATTTTGCTATGTAAATAGAATTTCGAGACTACCAGTAAGTCAGTAATATGAGATGTGTTCACCCAATTTCGTTTAAGGTGATGAAGGACTGGTAGTGGCCAGACACCATTTCATTATTTTGTTGAATTTTGCTGAATTTCTTAAAGTATAGATTCTTGTTTTGATGGTGTATGTCAAAGTACAGACGAAAGCTTAGTACAGGTTCATCGGGGTGGCAATACAGCTTCGTTTTTGGTGAGACCACATCTCGAATTCCGTCCAGCCAACTTTTTCTTCTAAAAGGAAAATCATGTCCCAATTTACCCTTTGATTGATAGCCATCTAGAAGTTTCGCCAAGGCATATGAAACTAAACAGTATTATTAATTAAATACAAGACAAGGATCAAATAGTGTTGATGACAGACAAAAGAGAAGCAGATGTTTGTTGAGCTTACTTTTATTTCGTGTGAAAGTGTTTGGTGAAGAGATTCGAAGGTCAATCACCCCAGAAGACGACGGGGTATTCCTCTTTATCAGCTGTTGATTGGCATTCCTGGAACATTTGTGTTGAAGCAGTTTCCGAGGTAAGCTCCTTCGATTCCGGTGAAAACTGTTCGGCTGGTTCTGATTTTTGGACCTACAAATCTTTTTAGGCCATTTTATCCTCTAATAACCTGTTATGTATAGACCTGAAGGTCTCCCCACACAGACACAAAACTTTGCAGCATCATTATATGAAGGGAGTATCCAAATAA